CAATTTGAGTTTTTTTGTTCGGTTTATCATTCGTTATTGATACCGTATTATGGCATGTCCCGTAGGAACCAATCGTAAATGTGATTTTCTACACAGTACTATGACTCACTCGCACTTACCTACCGTACACATTGTGAACTTGAAGCTCCTTCGAGAAAGACCCTCTCATATAATAGAATATTATAACAAAACTGCTCACCACTTCATGTCCAGCATCAACGAGTGTATCGGCAATTTTACCCATAAAATTCATGTGGCTATAGGCGAATTTCGGATTAATGACGAGGATTTTGTACGAATCACATAGCGATAATAACTTGAACAAGTATATTAATAGAATCATCTGAAAATTTGGGTTTTGTTTTCTAAATAAAAAACGAAATTGACCCAAAGACTATCAAAAGTGAAAGAACGAAGAGCGAATTCAGAAGGTCTACGATGAGAAGCTGATCCCGCTTACAAAATATCCTATAAACGGCGAAGAGATAGCAATTTTATGAAACTATTAGCTGCTAACAAGACGAAGTTTATAGATTCTTCATCACGCCGATAAAACCGGCATGTAGAGATATAGGTCTAGTGCAAAGGCTAGGTCATGTGTATTGCATGGTCTAGATTGCCATAGGTCGAATTCACAAACGAGAAAACCTAGAGGACTCGGTCGAGGTCCTACCACAGAAAAACCACTTATGCCCGCTTGAAAGGCGGAAGCATGTACTCCTAATTCAGATCCGAAGTTTCCTGACGTTTTCGAGGTAGAATGCATAGAAGCACCCAACTATCATCAGGGTGAAACTTCGGCACGGAACTACAATGCGATCAATGATATGCTATGCTCCTCAGAATGGAGCCTCTAAGGATCAGAATCTGCAACTTCATAGGTGTTGCTTACTGGATGCGAAAATGGGAGCGGTTGTGACGATTGGCACCGTTATGAAAAAAAAACGAAAAAAGAATAGCTAAAGACTTTAGATCATGGGCGGTGCTTGCGCTCCGCCCCTGCGAGAATCTCATTGATTGGGCCTCGTCTCTTTCCCATATGTTACCGTATATAACCACATCAAAAGAACGGCCGACCAGTGAGATATCCTTAAGAGCGCTTCGCAAACCCCACTCCATAGGGTTAGCGTTTGCGCACCATGTGATTTTAAGGATTTCGAACAGAATTTTTTAAAATTTCCATAATTGGGACTTCATACACTAATTTTCTAATTGCGATGATCCACAACTATTCGATTGCACTCTTATAGAAATAAATGTCACGCGCCTGAGATGTTGGAATAAAAAGCAGATTAAAGAGTGTACTAGGGTTCTTTTTATATTTGTTCATGAACAGCTCTTTGTGTCCCCACGAATCTGCCTTTACAACGTATTCTGACCATTCTCCTTCTCTGGGCTTTGCTTTGGCCGGTTTTCTCGTTTGTGAATTCGACCTATGGCAATCTATACCATGCCATACACATGACCTAGCCTTAGCACCTAGACCTTATATCTCTACATGCCGGATTTATCGGCGTGATGAAGAATCCAGAAACTTCGTCTTGTTAGCAGCTAATAGTTTCAAAAAATTGCTAACTCTTCGCCGTTTCATAGGTATTTTGTACGGGACAGCGTTCTCATCGTAGACCTTCTGAATTCGCTCTTCGTTCTTTCACTTTTGATAGTCTTTGGGTCAATTTCGTTTTTATTTAGAAAACAAAACCCAAATTTTCAGATGATTCTATTAATATACTTGTTCAAGTTATTATCGCTATGTGATTCGTACAAAATCCTCGTCATTAATCCGAAATTCGCCTATAGCCACATGAATTTTATGGGTAAAATTGCCGATACACTCGTTGATGCTGGACATGAAGTGGTGAGCAGTTTTGTTATAATATTCTATTATATGAGAGGGTCTTTCTCGAAGGAGCTTCAAGTTCACAATGTGTACGGTAGGTAAGTGCGAGTGAGTCATAGTACTGTGTAGAAAATCACATTTACGATTGTTCCTACGGGACATGCCATAATACGGTATCAATAACGAATGATAAACCGAACAAAAACACTCAAAATGTGGGTAGGTCCCATCCAAGGGAAGAGGGTTCCCTTTGCGATTACTTTCGACGACCTCGCCCCTCAGCCCTGCGTAACGACCAGTCGCGGTAATTCCTTTCGATAAGTATTCTGAGAAACCACCATACAAAATCTTAGGAGGTCAGCTGACCTCAATCCGATCCGCGAGTTAGCGTACATATCAGTGGGTATCACCACTGCTCTGTCTAGAAACTTTCTAAGCTTTCTAACGTTTTAGAGAACCTTTTAGTTCAATCAGAAATGAGTCAAATGAACACTTTATGTGGGTTTGATGGCGCTCTGATTCATTGGAAGTCCACATTTTTCGCGAAGGTTTCACATTTCCAGGTCACTTTCCAGCCTATAATTGAGCCGTTATATGTTGGAAACGGGACTACCAAATCTCGTTTGATCCAAATTGGTCCATTCGAGGATCTTCTCAAGGAAATGTCCGTACTTCACGATAAAGACCTTATGAAGCCGTTGTGGACGGCCAGTGCATCAAATCCAGTTGGAGTGATCGCGGTAAGCCAACACGCATAAGCGACTTACGATGCGGTAATAATAAGTATAATGTGAATAATAATTGTGTAATAATAGTCTCATTTCAGTTTGTCCCGATGTTATCCAAAATGACAGAGATGGCATTAACCAGTGAGTAGATTCTTATATATCTATAGATTACTGCAGTTAATTTAGTAAATTTTTAAGATGTGCTGGATAATAAGGAAATTCTGCAACAACTGAAAGATGAAAATTTCGACGTCGCAATAGCACTTTCGATCAATCGGATTGGGTGGTGATTTTTCTGTAGGTACTATTACTGAAAGCTCTCCGTTTCAAGGAACGTATAAATAAATTCATACGTCTCGCGTTCGGTGGCTTTCCACAACTTTGTCTGATTTTGACTGAAATTCGGGTCTTCAGTGGCTTAGCGCGTTTGCTCTTCATCTGAAGTAACAGTCAGTCCCAGCAGAGCTTTTCCCTTCGACACTGGCGGTGTGCAACGATGCGCTAGTTCTAAGTCAGGTACATAGAGAAGTGTGACTGAACAAAAAGCTTACCATGGAAAGCCGCTGGAAAGGAAGCTGGACGGCTTTGAGGTGGGCGTGGTGAGAAGTCAGTCGAGGAGATTCCAGCCGATTCGCAACCACGCCACTTCGAAGGCGTTAAACTACCTTTCGCGGTTTTCCATGGAGTTTTTTGTTCAGTCACACTGCTTATGTTCTTGACTAGGAGTAAGGCTAGCGCATCGTTCACACCATTAGTGTTGAAGGTAAAAACCCTGCTGGGACTGTTGCTTTAAGACTTGTTGGCTCCTCAGGCACATGTGCTTGTTAAGAGTAAGAACACAGCTACTGAGAGCATGGCTTCCATTTTTTAGTCCTTTTTATACGTGAAAATTGACAATGGTGCCCCAAACACGAGTACGAAACTTAAAGGAATCTTCCACGGACCATGGACCAGTGGGCGGGACCGGAAGTTTTTGTGACGAAATGCATGGTAGGTACGGATCCACGTGTCGAACGCACGAACGTGAACAGGATTCACTTCAAACCTTCCCATGAACGTGGATCCGTACCTACCATGCATTTCGTCGCAAAACCACTTCCGGTCCCGCCCACTGGTCCATTGTCCGTGGAAGATTCCTTTAAATTTATACGATTCTCACGGAGAAATGAAAATGGAGGTACGAAGAGGACCATAAGAAACAAACACGAAAAGTAGTCAACAAATACACTGGATAAGGGCTTCATTTTTCCATGATGTCTTGCGTGGTACGATGGAGTGACAAAGCGCGTCAAGGAGTGGGAAAATATGCGATAGAGCACGGGGTACAAGAGCGGGCAGCAAACCCTGCGTTTCAGTGGACGTTTGCAGGGGACCTACACAAGGCCTTCTAGCTTGTCAAGCGATTGGTCTGCCGTGGAGAGAGGCACACACAGCTTGCTTGGTGTCCGCCTGCTATCATACCCGTAGAAGGGTATTTATAACGTAATTCAAAAACTAATTCGGTGCGATCTAGAGACCGTAGGCTTATGGAGACGCTTTTAAATCACTTGCGACAGGGTCATTGAAATTTGATAAAAATGTACAATAGATGAGAGAGGATTAGCCGCCTTTATTGTTATGGCTGGCGAGAGGTTTGTAGGCTCGTAGTAATATCTGGTTCTTGCGTCTATACTAGTATAGGGATCTGCCCCCGTCAGACGTGGAGGTCGTTGAGGGACGGGGCCGAGCGACTTGCGGCTGCGCGATGCACAGCTGTGCCTTCATACGAAGGAGTTTTGATTGAAAAGGCAGTCATTATAATCAAAGTAGGGCTCTTCTGTGATGCATAGGAATGAAGAAAGAGAACCTCGATAGCACGTTCCTGGTTCTGATGGTATTGCTGAGCCTTTGCCCGCTTGATTTCCGGCATTGGAATGCGAGTCTTCTCGGTGATGAGCTGTCTATGCTCTACTTCTGCCATAATTGCTAGTGGATCCTCGCGGTAACTGTGTCCGAACCGGCGAGGGTTCTGACCATCGTGTGGACCGGTCATGGCCAAGGTGTGCGGTATCGCCTTAATAGGTCCACTGCATGCATACATAGCCTTTGCTGACTGCAGCACGGCATCTTTTGCACATGCACTTTGAACCCCTTGGTTACAATACCCTGCATATCGCTATGCGTTGTTTTTTGCTTCAATTGTCGCATCCAAATCTTCTATGAAAGGTTTGGCTGAACGCGATTTCAAGGACGAGTCAAACGAGCAACACTGTTCTGGATGCTTTGTACTTATTTATATCTTTGCCCAATTATATCTATGGGTATTAATTTTTTATTTTTTCGTTGCGTCATCGTTATTATGCTAGCTTAAATTTGAGTCTATTTAAATATAATTTTCCATTCGCTTTATGCTGTTGCTCTTTGATTACGGGTTTTATTTGTTGTCTAGATGGTGCTTCATATGATGTCACTTTGGTGTAGAATTTTCGGAGTTTGCGTTAATTTCGTGTAACCTGAGATGGATGGTCCTGTCTTCCGCGTTGTCATAGATTGCGCTAATATTGACTGTTGGGGCGGTAATTTCCATATCTTTCCCCGGGGTATTATATTTGCCCTGTGTCTGGTCTTCTTCTGCGAGTTGGTCTATTTTTATTCTCTGTTGTGAGGATATAAAATTTGTTGCGTCTATTATTGTATCTTATGCTATATGTTCTGTGTTTTCTATCTCTCAGTTTACAAGTTAGTATGCATTGCCGTCTTTATTTTCTGATTCCCTGTTTTTTCCCCTTGATGAACACTCTTTTCCCTTTCCCACGAGGTAATGCTAGGTCCTATGACCAAACCCTTTTTTGTCTCCAGAGATTGCACAAGTAGGGGGATACTCCTCCCCTGGGGACAGGATTTGAATACGCGCCCTGGACTGGTCCGCAGCGTTGCTTTCGAAAAGTGTGACTGTACTATAGCAAATTCGCCAATCAGTTTACGCGCATATCTTTAGCTGCATTCTCTTCTGTGTTCCCTGCTTTCTCTCGCGCGCCGGTGGCGCTCTGTCGGTCCCCGTTGGCTTCGGCGTGGTCGGTCAGCTTACATAGAGCCTTTGCAACGTGATATTTAGAGGCACGTGGGAAGAATCTCAGGAAAATTCTGTCGTCCCAGTTATTTTGAAAATGAAACCGTTCTTGGTGCCGAGTTTGTAATCTCTGAAATTTTTCAGGCGTTCTGGAAGCGCTCGGTCTCAAGAATATTATCGGAGCGCATACGTGCGTCCTTATGGAAGGAACATCATTGGCTATAGGTGCACCTGTGCTTCCTAGCTATATGCCAGGTAGAACTAATTATTGAGTTGTGAATTTGCACGCGAATAATTAGGGTTGTTGTGCTAGGAGGGCAATGTGAGTTTAGTGATAAGTAGCGCTGCCAAGTCCCGGGTTGGATTTTGCACAAAGCAAGCTGGCCGTTCATCCTTCGATCCATTTAGCTATCATTACAGGCTTTTAAGGGATGTTCAAAGCGCCTGCTTGTATTACATAATATTTACTTTTTCCACGCTAGTCATTGCTAGGCCGCATTCCATCCAGGCCTACGATCCTTAATAGACGAAGTGCACGAGACATTCCAAAAAGGCATCATTCAACTCCGCTACTTTCATCCTCTACTGGGTTGTGAGCTATTTTAATGGTGGACAGTTTTTCGAACTTCGTATAGCATACATTATACCGCTGGTCCCTGAAATTCACTGCATCAGCAACGATTGGCCCCATCTTTGAGCATCTGTTGTGCAATCCAGCATGCTGCAATGAATTTTCACGACGCAGCGGAATAACAATATTCTACCTGTAAATGAGTTAGAGATTTCATGATGGATGAAAAATCTAGTCGTAGGGAAAAAATACACCGCACGACTCCACCGTGAGACCGGTGCTATTGCTAAAGGGCTGGCGGGCAGTCTACGATCAACTCCATGGTAGTGACGCAGGACTTTCAAATCTATGCGCACGTTCTCAGAAAACAACGATCTTATCCTACACTTTCACAGGCTTATTACCACTGCCAGGAACTTTCGCTTCTGCTATTCATAACGGTGCTTTCCGAAAAAAAACGCAAGCCTGAGGGATGTCGAAGACCACATGTAGCGCATCAAATCAGCGTTGCTAGCCGAAGGCGAAGTTTACGATGAAAGCAGCGTCCTTTCACCCCTAGATTTTTTCCATGAAAAATTCTTTCTTGCCATTGTTTGTTACTTATGAGCACATGAATGAAACTTAATGGAGACATCGAATCTTTTTGACCATACTTACAATGTAGGAACCATGAGGATAGTCACTGCCCCCCCCCCCATTTAGTCTATTGAAAAACTCCAAATTTGCTTAGTTATGTCGGCAAGAGCGTTTGTAATCTTGCAGCAATTTGTGTCCATGGTTTTGTTACCGATTGATGATTGTAATTCCCAATAATTCGGGAATATAATTGTCCCCTGACATCGGTAAATTGGCGCGAGGCCAGCGCGATCCCTATTTGTTCACATTTGGTACACAACATGACCTGTAACTGTAACACGCAGACACCAATGAAATCGAACCGACAAGGGATTCTATCATGAAGGGCGCTGGTTCCTGAAGCAACCGTCGTGTCGCAGGAGTAGAAGAAATTTGCGTAAGCGTCCGGTAAATGCACACCTCACGGATTTGATGGTGGGCAGAAAATCGCCATAGTCCGGGCCGAAGGTTTAAGTCAAGGTGGGAGGAGCACTGTGCAGAAAGTAGAAATGACCTAGAAACAACGGTCAGAACTTAACAGGCAACTCGCGCGAATTAAACGTGCGTCCTATACAGCGTTATTATGTAGCTTTACAAGGGAAGGATGGTAGGTCGAAGTGGCCGTATAAAATGAGATGTATACCACCTGATGCGTCTCCTAGACGCTGATTCCAAATCTGCCTTCCAAATCTGCTAAACGCTCTCCGAACGGAGTTATGAAGCGTAATAGCTCAGTGGTGATGGTCCGGGGTGGCAGGTAAAAGCTCGTAGGATCGGTTTCCTTTGCAAGTTTGTTGCTTTGCTTTTGTCCGCAACACTTCTAGAGACAAAAGCAAAGCAACCAATTTGCAAAGGAACCGATCCTACGAGCTTTTACCTGCCACCCCGGACCATCACCACTGAGCTATTACGCTTCATAACTCCGTTCGGAGAGTCGTTTAGCAGATTTGGAAGGCAGATTTGGAATCAGCGTCTGGAGACGCATCAGGAGGTATACATTTCATTTAACGGCCACTTCGACCTACCATCCTTCCCTTGTAAGCCTGGCGAAGACCAGAAGTGAAAAGGAAAAAAGAAAATCTTGGGAACGCTGCAATTAAGGCCTTAACCTTCAGTAGGGTAGAATGTGGTACGATGGCGAGAAAGGGTGGTCAAAGAGAACAAAATACGCGAAGAGCACGTCGTTTGAGAGAGCACGCTGATCTCTCATCAATGCACGCTGATCTCACCACCTCTCGCGGCGGGTGGGATGTGTTGGAACGGGAGTCGATGGTTGCGGGCCCGTAAGGACTAGCGCCCTAACCGCGCAGTTTTTGCGACGAAGCTGGAGTGATCCAGTTACGTACGGACCTTAAAATTTCCCCCGTGGAATCCCTCCTACTAGTCGGGCTAATCCCGGGGTTTGCCTTTAAGAAAGAGGGATCGTTCTTTAACCCGATGATTCCGCGTATTGTGCCGGCTCTTCTTACGCAAGCGCCTGCCTCACTGCTAAACGGCCAGAGAGGGACAGCTAGAGTGGGCGTGCCGCTGCGCGAGCTGCGCGGATACGACCCTTACTAAGTTCGCTGCGAGAGACGCATCTGCCCGCGCTCTTTTAGGGTCCGTCTGCCTTTCGACATGGTATATTTCCTCTTCTTTGACCTTCGACATTATTGTGGAATCCTCCTTCGAACCTGACTTGCTGTACAAAGCTGCATCCTTCAAATCGAGGAGAGGCCGCACAGAACACGGCCGGACACGCGCACCTTTTCAAAAACTTTTGTATCAAAAACCTGATGTTAATTATGATTGCAAATTTTACTTGCGCCCTTACCTGTCAACGCTTTTTTTGATGGGGACCTTGCACGACAGCTCTCCAAACCGGATAGTTATATTTGTTCTGAAGGCACTAGCCTAAAAAGAAGTCTCGAACTTTCCTTATATGTTCCTTCAGCGTCTCTTGGTGTTACGAATGATGCGACCGACTTTTGGACACGTGCCACGAATCTTTTGTTTCACGTATCTCTCGTGGTACTTCCAGACAGGAATTGCTGGTGCAGCTGATCGAGTCATGAAAGCGAAACTTGGACCAAATGTTACTCCAGTCTGGGTGGGTTGCGAGTGTTACCATAAGACCTGCCAAACCAAACTCCAAGCGAGCGACCAAAGATATTGTTCGAGTAGTCGTGCCGGTAGTTTTCTCTGCAGTTTCCAGACTTCATCAGGTTAACCTTTGTCAGATTTAAGATGAAAAAGGAAGGCTGAGGTCTCCGTCCTCCATAGTCATTCTATTGATGGCAGTCTTCACTTAGCACAACTATAAAATAACGGGCTCTTACAGGACACAGTGGCCAACATATCATGGGTGCTGGTCAATTCTGAACCATTGATGGAATTCGAGAGGCCTACGCTGCACAAAGTTGTCGCCATCGGAGGAATTGGAGTCCATGAGCCAAAACCGCTTAGCGGCGTTAGTTCTCTCATTCTGATAAGTCCCCTATCCTTAAGTCAGATTGTGAGGCCTGAAAATCAATTTTTAAGGAATGGGATCGTGTCCTGAACCTCAGGAAACAAACTGTACTGATCTCGTTTGGCACGGTAACGCAAAGCAGATACATGCCCGAATCAATGAAAAAAGCCATCATCAAAGTCGTCAAGTCGTAAGTTTTATGGGAGTTTTTGGGGCCTTATGTGCTGCGACTATCATTTCTGCCAAAATCCAAACCGCTGGTGAAGTAAATGTGGTTGTTCTCATAGGATCTACCGTGGTAAATGTCATGACAGCACCACTACTACTTTAAAGGAATCCTTCGCGGAAAAATCTTGCATTCTTTCTGACATGAATATGTCAGTTGTGATCACTAGAAACAGCACACAAAGTTCACGCATGAAGATTCGGTTTCCGAAGAGAAACAAACTTACAAAAACCACACTCTATGGACAATCGAAGGTAAGTGGGCGGAGCCAAAGGCGGGGCATGGAAAGAAGTCCGCCTTGGGGCGGCTACGTATCAGGACGCAATGAAAGAATCGGGTTAAAGCGTGCGATTTTGGAGAGTAGAGACAAATCGATCGATAGAATAGGATGCAGTAGAAGTGTGAGATGTGAATGCAATAAGTCAAAAGGCCAGAAAGAGTTTCTAGTGAGGCACTCCAAGAACCAAGTGGAAGCATTCCCGTCGCCAGCATTTGTGACAGATGTCCGGCGGTACTTTGAACGCGTAGCAGCCCTTTCGTTTTTCGAATTTTTTACCAAAACAAATGCAATTTTTTGTTCTTTTCGTTCTTATCGTGAACGATGGGTCCCAAGCCAGTGAATTATGGGTGAAATAGAATCACGATTTTTCCAAGCAGGATTCCTTTAATCTCATGCGCACTCCGCAGTTCTAGGAACTCAACCAAAGTGTTAGTGTTTAGACTCAAATAAGGACCTCACCGGATGAGTTTTATCACCGGAGGGCGCGGGGTGGGGGGGGGCGGGCCACACCATAAAGCATTTTCATTATCCGAAGCACTTTCAATACTGAATACGAAAGAACCGACGAACGCGATCTCGAAGGACACAAAGTAAAAGGAAAAGAAAATGAGAAAAAAAAGGGGAAAGGGAAAAGGGGAAAATAAGAATCAGATAACTAATCCCTCTAATGGACGCCACAAAGCTGCTTACTAGGTAAAAGTTAAACACATAATTGCATTCTTTTTCTTTCTATTATAGAATGGCAGATAACCGGCTTCCCTTCCTTAAAGCAACAGTTCAGGAACGGTTTCGCGGGAAAAAACCACCAATAATGAAGTTGTAGATGAAAACCAGACGATTAATGTATGAAAAACTGGAAAAAAACGTCGGGGAGGGTCTTAGACAGGTACTCTCCCTCTGCCGCTCAGCAATGGATAAAGACGCACGTTGGACGAGTTGTCTGAACGTGCCCGCTGTAAACGCGCTCCATTTTTCAATCAATTTTCCCTGTGGTCCCAAAACGAGCACGATTGCCGACGCGTCCAATGACGGCCGGCAAGGGGGCGGGATTGGGGAAATCCCCAAGAACACCCATGTTTGAGGGACTTTCCACCCTGTTTTTGAGTTTCTGAGGTAAGTTCGTTTATTATTTCCACTGCATATGTTCTTCACTAGGGCTCGTGTATCCCTCAGTAGTAGTGGCATTGAAATTTTCGGACCCTCCCTGAACTGTTGCTTTAAGCCTTGTATGGTGTACTGCCCTGCTGCCATCCTTATCATCCGCGGCACACGTGATGTTTGCGCCCTCTCCCGCACGACGTCCTCCCTCGTGTTTTCCTCTCCTCGCAGCGTTGTTTCTGCGTTGTACCACAGCCGACCTCAGATTTTCCCTCCACTAGTGTTCCTCACTGCAATTCTTGCCTAATTTTCAAACAAAATAGCACACCAATCCGATCCCAACTGGATCCCTGCATTTGATGATCTTTCATCAGAACTATGCCGTATTGTAATGGTAATGTGTGAGCGCGACTTGACGCTACCACAAATTGAGTAATATGGTGATTATAGGTGATCAGTTGGCAATAAAGTGACTCCTCGGTCAATGAGCGTAAAACTCACTTGGTTGTGTCCCTTCTGCAGGGAAATTTGGCACCAGAATGCAGAGGATTTCTTCTATGCGTTTTCCCTTTTCTATCGCAAACTGTTTTCCCCGTAATCAGGACGTGGTCGTACTCAATAACGAGATTAAACGACCTGTAGTGCTGCAGCGAGACTCTGCGGAATCCCTTGTTCCACCTCACCTTGCACAAGTTCGCTATTCATCATTCTCAAAGATGATGTGTGAAATTGCCTGTGTATGTAGCATTTTTGACATAAGTTTTGTGAGTTTCAGCCGACAAACGTCTAACACTTTTCATCACACATGGCGGTGCTGGAAGTATGATGGAGAGTGCACTCCGCGCAAAACCGCTTGTTGTGGTCCCGTTGTTTGGCGACCAAACGAGGAATGCGAAACTCATTGAGAAATTTGGTTACGGTGAGTGAAATACGGATATGTGAAAGAAGATAATTTTGCTCTAATCAGTGAATGGAGATGCACACTGCGTCAGAGGTTCATTCGGAATCTATATGGATGCAGACCTGCCAGATGTTTACCCCATACGATGAGTTAGAAGGGCGGGTGCTGTTCTCTTTAGTGTTTTTACCATTCTTGAGGAATATGGTGGATAAACTGCATCGCAAAGGTCCTGATATTTAGCTCAGAGTGGCAACCCCAGATGAGCTTATGTCAAATAATTTATACTGTGGGTACGATAAACTATTCCATGGTCATCACAGTTGTGCCGTTGTCACGGTTAGAAAGTGAGCGACTATAGCTCTAAGGCCTTACAAAATGAGCTAATGACGGCTGTTGTGA